AAAGAAAACTTTAAATTGAGCAAGATAAGTTTTGGCATCCTTCCAAGTAGAAGGCAAACCCCAAAATGTTACTGCAAATCCAACAGATGGGTGTTATTTTTCACGCTTTAAAACCTCATTCCTTTGCACTGAGATTAACTGTAATTAGCTCTTTATTTACATCTAAAACAAAAAGTAAAATGATAAAGAAAGGCACTATAACCACAACTCACAGGCAGAAAAAGGCCAAAAAAAAAGAAAACCAACAAAAATTCCCTCTGAGAAGAAAACACGTCTTTCTTGCCAAGCATCATAATTGTTACAAATATACAGTTAAACAACTCCACAACATCCTGTCAGCACTAAGGATAAACATTTAAGTCACAGTCTTGCAAGCCTTTACACACAAATTGATCAAATACCTAAGAATCTTCCTCAGAACACTGGAAAAATCTCACATCCCTCTAAATAAACAGCATCAGGCCTAAGAGAGGCAAGACACTCCACTACACTTTTATTTCAGTAATGCAAGGGATTAAAGAAAACTGTGGGGAAAACAAACAAACAAACAAGCAAACCCAGCAGCTTTCCCAGATAAATAGAGAGGTATTAAAACCCACTCTTTTTTCTTTACTATTTTTTTAAGCCTTCTTCTAATTCTGATAACACCTCGGCTTAGTAAAGCTGAAGAGGCTCCTTAAGTATTTGTATAAGAGAATGATTCATGTTGTATCTTCGTGTTTCAGCTGCAAGCACAGCAAAGCTGTCCAGGGAGCTGCATGGGGACCCGAATCCATGCTCTGCCCTGGCACTGCCAGGCTGCACCTCGGAGCTCCCACGCTTGCCCAGCCTTGCCCAAACAAGCTGTCAGCAATGAAATAGAGCGAGTGGGCTTGAAGGCAGCCTCAAATGCTTCAGAACCACCAGGACACTCTGCCAGGGCAGCTCAGGGATGGGCACAGGGATGGGCACAGGGATGGGCGCAGCGCTGGGGCACGCGGGGCTCCTGCCAGGCAGGGGTGGCAGTGGATCTCCTTCTGTGGGCACCCAGGCAGGGCTGGCAGCTCCTGATGGCCCCGCTCTGAGTGGGATTTCCGAGCTAATGGCTCTCTGGCACCTTCCCAGTGTTCCCAGGAGAAGGAGCCACCCACCACTTCCCCGGCTGAGCCCAGGACTCATGGAAATGTCTTATTCTCTGCTGCAAATAGAGCGTTTAAGTTAACAGTCTCTTTTTGTTAACACATGTAGATGTAAAAAGATTCCCTAAGAATCAATGTAACTTTTTCATCTAAATATCAAGTCAACACATAAGAAGACAGAGTAGAAGGAGGGAGAGAAGAGGAGGGAGATCCAAACACCAGGGACCTTGAATCCACTCACTGCAAAAGTTAAGGACTGAAATAATTCTCATTTACTCATATGAGAAAGTGGAGCTCTCACTTTCTCACTCTCTCCTTCTCTTTCCCTAGCACTCTCAGATACTTCTATCTTTAGCCAATTATCCTTGCTGTAATTTTCTTTAAATTGTAATTGGATAATCATCCAGACTCAGGGGAAACCTTTGTCAGAGGAATTCCTGGGGATATATTCCCATTTGATGAAACTGAGAGTTGTTAGGTTAACAAAGGACTGACTAAAGACACGATTCTTCATTTGTAGTGAAAATACTGTTTTACAAGTAACTATTTTTAGAGAACCCTGTAACAAAATAGACACACTTGTACACTCATTTTCCTGTATTTTATTTTCTGTAAAATCAGACTCCAAAATTACAAATATCATGTTCTGTGCATGTGTCTTATTGGGACTTCTGAGGCTGAACACAGTAAACACAGTGGCCAAGAGCAAAATTCCCTAAAGGGCAGGCACCATGGAAGCAATTTCCCCAAATCAGTTCCCTTTCTGCCCTCTCTCTGAGCTCATCTGGCTCAGGCACGTGCAAAAGCCTCACACAGACCAGCACCGTGGCTGAGAAATGTCAGATTAGCCCTCTGCCTGGCAAAAGCACCGCTGTGGCAGGGGGAGAAATCCTAAAATACCTCCCAAAAGAAGAAGCTGCTTTGTTCCAGCTTAGCCGGGAATCTCAGCTGCAGGTTTTGCTGATGGTGGAGCAGAACAAAGCAGCTCCAAACCGTGGATGGCAGAGCCCCTCCTGCCACAGCCCCCGAGCCTCCTGCAGGGTGTGGAGAAGGGTCAGCCCAAGCGTGGCACACCTGAGCCAGCTCTGCCTCCTTCTGCCTTTGCAGCTGTCCCACTCTGCCCAGCCAGAGATGCTCCAGCTCACCTCCAGGTACAGAGCTGCCACCAGTCAGGCTGCAGCAGCACAGAGGACACAGGCTCTGCCCATGGGGCACTGAAATCCATGAGCTGTGTCAAGAGAAAGACAGGGGAGGAAGGAGGAGAGCAGAGCTGCACTGTAGAACGTGTTTTAGTTCCCAGATAACGTGGCGCTGTTCACAGATTTCAGCTTATATAGGCTTTTCACTATTTCTATTTTTATTCCCAAAGCACTCCCCATTACTGTATGATAAGGAAAAAAAAAAAAGACATGAATGCATTCACATGCTGATACAATCTTCCCAAGTGTCCACCTGGCTAATCCAACCTGCACTCTGAGAGCCAGGCTGGGGCACCTCTTCTCCCACACCACCAGTCACAAGGGCTTTGTGGCAAGTTTTTGCAAGTCAGAGTCTTGCTGAAATGGGAGGACACTTGACAAGAGAGGGGACCCAGGACACACAGGGAAAGAAATATGAATCATGTGCCTGCCAAAATAACCAACAGAGAAATCCAAACAGAAGTGAGAAGAAGGAATAAAAACTCAAATTTTGGACTCTTATTCTGAAGGAATATAATTCTTCCTCCCTAGAGCTGGCATCTGGTTCATGCAGGTCTTGAAGGAATAAGGCTAGGACAAAATCTTTCTGCCTCATTCTTCCTGAATGCTTATTTTAGAGCTTAAAATTACAGCTCTGAGGCCAGCAGGGAGGCATTTCCCACACCTCCAAGTATCCAGGCTGCTACACCACTCCCACTACCCTCTTAAGTCTCTCTTATCTTTGTGTGCTTCGTGGTGCCAGGTGGTTTTGTGTAGTGCTACCTGGGGATGAGGATGCTGGAGCCCAGAGCAGGGCAGTACTCATCCCCACTGCTCCTGCTCAAATGCAGGATACCTGCACAGACCAAGGGAGTCTGGAAAGGGAGAGCCCAGAATGTTCATACACAGCCTTTCCTTCCACACCACGGAGGGATCAGGGGACCTTCTGGACTCTGGGGAGGCACGGACAGACATCAGCAAGCATCATATCAAACGCAGACACTTTGAACTCAAGCTAGAAGCAGAGACATGGAAAGCAATCCCAGGGCTGTGTGGATGCAGCCCTGCCCTCTGCCTTGCACAGAGGACGGCAGAGGAGTTAGAAACACAACCTCTCACCCCACAGCCCCTTCCTCCAGCTCCATGCGGCAGCTCCCACCTTCCCAGGTTAACATTTCCCAGTCACTGCAGTGCCCTGCAGGCTTCCACCAGCCCAAGTCCTCTCAGGCTGACTCTCCATGTCCCCCATTATGCTCCATCCTTAGCTGCCCCTCCAGACAAGGTGATCCCAGCAACAACACCGTGCCTACTTCCAGGGAACAATATCTGGGTTTCAGAGTTTAATCCTCTCTGCTTGCCCTCTCCTGCTCACCACAGGCAGGCAATGGAGACAGAAAGCAGGAGCCTTTCCAGCACCAAGCCTGCCCACCCGAGAGCCTGTGGGCTGGAGTGATGCTCTCCATGAATACAAGGGATGCCTTTCCTGCAAGGAATACAAGACAGCAAGTAAATCTTCCAGAGCTGCCAAAAGCAACCTGTTATAAATGACCCTCTAAGTTATGAGATATGGACTCTCCACAGTACAGTTAATAACTAACACCTCACAATCCTTCTAGGTATGGAAGCATATGTTGGGTGACACTTCTGCTTGCCCTAGAGGGGCACAGTTAAAAATGGAGTGTCAAGAAAAGAATACTTTTTAATTACGAAGGAGATAAGTGTTTTTATAATACAAGGAGCTTGCTGCAATCTCACAAATCCAGAAATGAAAAGCCTTTCCTAGGACAAAAAACTGAATGCATGGAACAAAATCCATCATTTTATAAGAAAAGAAAGATCTGTAAAGCCAACCAGGATTTTATCCAAGCACTATAACCAGCTATTCACAAAGCAGAGGTCAGGATGAAAAGAGAGAGTGTGCATGTGAGAGGGCATTTATAATCCAGTTTGCTGTGACATCCTAAGGCCCCAAGATCAGGATTCTGTTGTGCCAAGCACTGTACAGGCACACTGCAAGAAACCAGCCCAGAGTGAGGAACAAGTACTGCCACTGTAACAGGGAAAGCGACATTGGCACAGAAAAGGGACACCCGAAGTACTGAAGCCCTGATGGTTTCCTTTTCCCCCTTCTTTTTTAGGAAACCATCCGGTTTCCCTCCAGATACACCCCCCCCACACACCAAAAAATAAAAAACCAAAAAAGTACCTGCTTCACATAAGGGGGCAGCTGCCCCCAACAAACACAGCAAAGGCCATCTTGCTGCCAGCATCTAATCGCTTCCAGTCTGATTTCTTGGACACGTCTCTTCCACTTTATTTCCCTGCTACGGCTTAAGCCTGACCCCTTCCTCTCCCCACTCCCATTCAGAGACCCGTTTGACAGCAGAGAGCAGGTATCGGAGGCTCAAGAATTTGCAATCCGGATGAAAATTAAAGTTGCATTTCCCAGCGCGTGCAGCGCTCCAGCCAGGAATACCCAGATCTCCACGGCCCCCACGGGAGCGAATTAAAGCAAATCCCTCCGCATGTCGGGGAGCGGGGGCATCGCCAGCGCGGCTGCAGGAGCGGCGGGGACAAATTGCTGATATCGGCTGGGTCCCTGCACACCCAGGGTTCCCCGAGGGTCCCCCGAGGGTCCCCGGCACCATCGCCCACCCCCGGTCCCCATCCCCGGCTCCCCCAGGCTCGCTCCCACCGTGCCCACCTGTCCTCCTCCTTCGTGGCCGCCGGGCGCTGCTCCCCGGGCTCTGCCGAGCGCTTCCTCCTCTTTCCTCCTCTTCCCTCGCGATCCGCCCGTGCCAGCCGAGGAGCGGGGGCCGCTGCCGGCTGCTCGCCGCCGCCCGGCTCCCCCCGCCGCGGCTGCAGCCCGCCTCCTCCGGCACAAACTTTCCCTTCGCGTGCGGGGAAGTTCACGGCCGGGGCGGGGCGGGACAGGCTCCCCCGTCCCTTGTCCCTGCCCACGCCCACGCCTACAGGAACACGGGCGTCCCCCGCGCACCCCCAGGCAGCGCGGCTCACCTGGGGACGCGGGGAGCGCGCAGCTGTGCCCGGCGCGCCGCGCTCTCCTCTTCCTCCTTCTCCTCTTCCTCCTCTTCTGCCTCCTCTTCTGCCTCCTCGCCGTGGTGCCCGATCCGCGCCCCCGGGCTCCGCTCCGCCCCTGTCCCCGCGGCCGCGCTCCGCAGGCGCTCGGGGCGGTCCCGCCGCGGTCACGGCGGGCAGCGCGGCCGGGGCAGGGGCAGGGGCTGGGGCAGGCGCAGGCACAGGCACAGGCACAGGCACAGCTCCGGCCCTCAGCTCCGGCCCTCCGCAGCTGCCGGGTCGGGCCGGGGAGGCGGGGTGCGAGCGGGGTGCGCGGGGCCACGGCTCCCTCTCCTGGCCGGAGCCGCCCTGCCGGCGGCAGTGCCCGGGGCCCCGAGGCGCCCGGAGCCCGTGGAGCCGGCCCGGAGCCCTTGGACACGTTCGGGGCACTCTGTGGATGGGCTGGCGGACACAGCCCTGCTGCTGCCGCAGCCCCTGAGCGCTCTGCGGGCCACCTGCCCCCCGGGAAAGTAAAGTTTCCCATTCTCTTCTCTGGTGTGCTGGAATTCCTTCCTCGTAATTTCCTCCCGGGGCTCCCTGGACATTCTGATGCCACCTCGTCCCAGAGAAGTGTCACCGTTTCTTCTCTATTGCCGGCACAGACAGAGCCTTGATGAGGCTGAAATTGATGATGGATGAGGAGTGGGCACCTGAAACAGACTGCAAGGGCAGTGTCAGGGAGTCTGAGGAGTGGAATAAAAATCTGCAGAGATTTGGGCCAGCACTGCTCCTGGAGAATGTGGCCAGCGATTTTAAGTGCAGCCCCTAGTGTAGGAGTGCCCTTGCCCGGGAAAGCTCATTGTCCTCTCAGGTTGGCCTAGAGCCTCTTCCATCCTGGCAGTGAGTAACCTGCCCTTATTGGTACTTTTATCACATCTTGGCAGGCTGACAGCAGAGAGAAATGGCTGGACACAAAGCCTGTCGTGCTAAGGAAACTCCTGTCTGCTCAAAGTGCTGCAGCGCTTCTTAGCACTGTTGGCTACAACACCTGGACTGAGTTCAACACACCTCCGTTGTTATCCTCAGAAGGTGATTCCAGGATATCTGGGATACCAAATTTCACCCCATCCCATGAAGCTCCTCTGCAACAAACCTGTCCTGGGGTGCAGGTCTGGCCAAGGCATCAGAGCCATTGATAGCCCCCATCCCTCTGCAAGGCTGCCTGAGGCACTGCTGCACACGTGGCTGCTGTGAAAGGGGGTCCCTGCCCTCAGCAGCCCCACCAGCCCTCCAAGGTGGGCACACCTAAAGCTCCCCATCCCAAGGAACAGGAGCTGCAGCCTGGCTGTGCCACTGCCTGGGAAGGAGCTGTGGTGGGAAGCCAGTGCTGTTCCTGCAGCTCCAGCAGGAAAACTCTTCTTCCTGTACCTCTCTCTCCTTCCCTTCCCAGGGTTCTGGCACAGCAAAATTAGGCAGAAAGTTTCTTATCTCAGCAGCTTCTGTGTCCTGGTGGTGAATGCCCTTGAAAATCTGCCTACTTGGCTTGTGCTTAGAATCAGCTCTACTCCAGCCATCTCTAACCCAATTCCATCCAAATATTAAAGCAAATTTTTAAGGCAGAGCTCTGTGAAGACTAATTTACCCCACTCTAAGGGCAGATTGGTGTGTATTTTGCTCCATACGACCTGCACTGCTCCAGGACCCCATCTTGTCTGGAGCTACTTTAGATGTCTGTATAACTTGGCTGCAATACTGAATATAGGCAAAATTGGAATAGCAAGGCACATTTTATGAGCTGTGTTTTCCAACATACTTACTGAGAAATATGTGCTTAAAATCGTCTGTTGAAATATGACAGTCCACTTTTCTCATAGAAGATGAAATAACAAAAGGATTGCATATTTTTAGTCATGATACCTAATGCAGCTGTGGGAGTAGCTCAGCTGGTAATTGTTACAAGAATTAATTATTATTATTAATAATAATAATAATAATAAATTCCTTGTTCTATGTAATATCTGCCATCCATAGATACAGATCTGGGGTAGGACATGTCATGATTCTTGTTTGGGAGGATCCAGGCACTGTTGCAATACTGGTAGTGCAGGTTAACAGTCACCAACACACACACCCTGGGAAATTCATACTGTTCCCAACTCTAAGCCTGCAAATTAGGGTCCTTAGGCCAGGGTCATTAATTTTCTCTGCTGTTGATGAAAAGCCAGAATTCAACTTTAGACTTCATTGAAAGGCTCATAAAAAAGATTCAAGACCAAATTTCCAGAGACTGGTTAAAAGCTACAGCTGATGGCAAAGCCCCAAACCACACCTGCTTATTGTGTTTTCACAGGAAATGTTTCAAACCCTTTTGTTTATGGATTAAAAGAATCAAAAAATTCCTACTGCAAAATAAGGGTAATATTTCTCACTTGGGCTCAATGTTGTCATAAGGATATTTTTGTATTGCTATTTTTTCTCCCATCCTCTCTCCACACTTGCACATGCTATTTCTGTGCAGGTTAAAATGCAACACAGTTACACCCTAGAGTGAATTATACTATGTTTTGAAGAGCAATCCAGTAAATAGAAAACATTTTTAAGCTCAAAAAGGCATCATTGTTCCACAATTTTTGGACAGGGAGCAAAGAGTAGCATTACTAAGTGAAACCACTGGGGGGGACTTAAATAGCAGAGGAATGTGTTGGTGTTGAGCCAGGACACTGGAGCTTCTGGCATTGCAACTGCTGTGAAAATATTCCACAGACCTCCAGTAACAAGTGGCCAAAGGCTTTGTTTTGCTGCTGTTCTATTCCCTTTAGGCGATTTAAAGTTACAAGCACAGGAGGATCCTGGGTCATAGAGCCCAGTTCTCTGCTGTGCCAGGAATAATGTTGTTTATGGTGCTTTTCATGAAAGGACCACAGTCCGACTTTAAACAATTTTTTGGTTTTGCCTGTTACCCCTCTGTGAGGTTCTCCTAAGCTGTCCATGGCCCTGCTGGTCAGGAACCTTTCCCCACATGTTCTGGCACCAGCACTGGCTCTCATTTCAGTAGCTGTTTTGCTCACTTCTCCTTACTCAGGTATTTTATGGACATGGTTCTTGTCTGCCTTTCTCGCTGAGCTGTGGAGGACTGGCTTTTCAATCTCCTTTCCTAAATGACTCTCAGTTCACCTCAGACCTCTTCCCTCCATCTGCTGTGGTGTCAATTAATCTCAAAGTTCATATGGGTTACCAAAAGTAGTTAGAGTATTAAATGGGAGGAGGTCTCACTGATGCTTCATACACTGAAATTAAAGTCCCCATTTCTCATTGAAATATCTCACCTGGTAATCCCAAGATTGCACTTATCTTTCTGCAAATAAGCTATAGTGGTGACCTCATATTTCTCCTCCATTTTTGCTTGCAGTACTAAGTTCCCAGCCTTGATCAGAGACTTGTTACTATTCCCTTGTCAGTTCCCAATTCCCTTGTTTTTGTCCCAACTCTCAGCTTGCACAGAGTTTTCTGATTTGTTTGTTCTTAGCCAGCATTTCTGATCAAGGTAGTTTCATAACCTCTAAAAGACGTGTTCTTGCTTGTTACTCACACCCACCTAACCCATTTTTCCTCCTTCCTAGTTCAGGAAATAAGCCCTAGACTACATATAATTATAGTCTGTGCAGTTATAAATGAACGTGCCTTCTGTGTTTGACACCTGCCTTTTAACTGGCATTGAGAGGAGCACGCCTGATAACCTAAGATATCTGACCCACACAGGGAAGATGGGAGAATGACAGATATTTCTGACATAGCAGCACATGGACCTCCCATCTGCTTCTGTCAAGGGAGCTGATGTTACCCACACATGGAGCTGAACATTTTCTGCTGAGACCATTTTGCAGCGAGGAACCTGTGCCTGGCTGGGCAGGCAGGCATGGCTTTCAGACAGGTATGGACTGCACGTTCACCAAAATGCAGGAGGAGTCACAATTGCATGTGTCAGGTGAGCCTGACTGACAGAGATTGTGTGTTCTCTGCTGTGACAATGTCCATGTGGTTTGGACATTGACTATGTCCAAACCACATCTTGGATCTCACTGCCCAGTGAGGAATTTTGTGTGAACCTCTGCAAGAGCCCTGCACAATGAGGAGGATTGGAAGCACAGCTTCGTTATGAGTTCATCTGTGTTTATTCCTGAGGATGCAGCAAATAGCTTTTGTCCATGTTAATGTGCTAAATATCATCAGTGTCTCTTCCCCTGTGTTACTACGGTGGTAGGACTGCTAATGCAAATGGTTCTTAAATGGAAACTTGACCTTACATGACTTGCATCCAAGTCCATTTAAATCTCTGTCACACATGTTTTGATACAGCCTAAGGCCGGAGATATTTCCAGTCCTATGAGTCTGTGTTTCATACAAACTAAAGCTGTTTCAAAGCAGTGGTGGAGAGGAATATCTTCTCATCCTACTGAAGGCTTTGGCTTTTGGCAGGTATCTGACCCACAAGGGCACACACGTTGGACACCGTTTGTGTTTAGGATGCCTGAACATTCTTTTGCACAGTGTATCAATCACACCAAATTTGTGTAAATTGCCTGACTTTGGAGGTTGCAGGAACACTTAAACTGGGTTGGCATTTCTGTTGGGCAAGACCAGCATCTGTCTCAGTCAGTCTTTGAAGAAAGCCTCTAGCCTGGCTGTTAATTAGGCTGCAGTTTACCTCTCTTGCTCAGTGATGCCAGTGAGAAGTGGCAGGCTGTCAGCAGATTAATAAAGCTAGATAGGCTAGATACAGCCTTGGCATCGAGGCAATTCCCTCCTGATGGGTATTTCTACAGGGAGTGGTCTCTGGAGATGATTTTAAACTCCTGGCTTCTCTGGCTGATGGTTTGCTGACACCATTGCAGAAGGGAAAAGGCACTGAATTAACACATTGTCTTTCCTGGGTAAATGGAGCCAATTAGAAGATCTTATAAAAGCAAGAAAAGGCTTAATACAGTGTATTTTTATCCTTCCTATTTGTAAGAGTTCCTCCTCTCTTGACATAGGTTTATCTAGGTGTTTTGATGCTTTAATCATTTTTCAACAGTCTTTTTTTCTGAACACAACCCAACGTCTCTGGATAACTGTCTGATAATAAACTGCAATGGTTAAGGAAAAAAAGAGAGCATCAAGTATGGTAAATGAAAAAAAAATCCATTAGCATATTCCAAAACCTTATT